TTGGCAGCGCGGGTTAACGGTTGGACTCGATGATCTTGAGGGTCTTTTCCAACCTTAAAGATTCTGTGATTCTGTGATTCTCTGGATTGGCTTGAGCGCTTCCCAGGATGGTTTGCGAGCAGCAGTGCTGCATTAATGAGATACGTCTGCTGGCAGGGCAGCGCTGACCTCATCTGCAGCAAGTGCCAGGGACTTAGCCTGGAGCTGTGCGAGGCAAAGAAATGTCCTGAAGACGCAGGGTGAAGAGAAGCAGCTGAGAACCAGGCGGAGCTGCTTGTCCAGCAGAGCTTGGCCGCCCTGCCTGGTCTCTCTCAGTAACCCAGTGGCGATGAGGTCTCCCATGCCCCAAGTGCTGCCCTCAACTAGCACAGAATTAAGATTTTTTGGTAGTCCGGCAGCTTGCACAGGACGGGAGCAGACATCGCCGCTCTCCTGCGTTCCCCACGCCTGGTTTTTCTCTCCAGCTGAGGTCTCCCGCCCAGCACGGGCATCCAGGGAGCTCGGCGCTGTGAGCTGCTGTCCCTGCGTCCTGCTGCGGCAGGGGAGGAGAGCCCTCCTGGCCCGCAGCCAGGGGATGCTCCTTCCCGTCTCCAGGATCGCAGAGGAAGCAGCCTGGCTCTGCTGCACCCCGGGGCTGAGATCTGGCCTAGATCAAGGGCCGAAGAGGATATTGGTGTGCGGTTAATTGGCACATGTGTTCTGCTGCTTGTAATTGCAGGAAGCTGCTGCTTAGGGATGTCTGGGTGATTTGTGAGCCTGGGCAGGCAGAGCAGCGCGGGGGACGCTCTGTGCTCCCCCTGATTCGGGAAGGGCTGGTGGCCGTACGCGCTCCGGCTGTGCCGCACGGCCACGGCCTCCCCCCTTCTTTCCGTGCTCTTTTCTTCCAGTCCCGCTCCCCGGGGAGCTGCCTCCCCCCTGCACGCCCCCGGTGTGCGGCGCTCCCTGCCTGGCACGTGCCTTCACCTGGCACGGGACGGTGAAAACTCCTGACTCTCTCCCTGCTGCAGGCAGCTTCGGCCTCTGCTTTACAACAAAATTCCACAGCCCGGGATCTCCACAGCTGCTGCAGAGACGACAGCAGAGGCACAAACCGGGCTTGCATTAAGGGCTCTTGCCACCTGCAAGGGGTAAAGCCCAAATTCGGCGTTGGCGGGGCAGGAGCGTGACATCGAGCTGAGCGCCCTGGGCTGCGCCGGGGAGAGGGCAGCGCCGTCCGTGGGGTGCGCTCCCCTGCTCCACGCTGCTGGTGGTGAGTTAGGAGAGCGTGACAGAGTTTTCTAATATACCTTTAGACTCATTTAACCTCTCTCCCACGGCCTAATGTCATGGTATAATAACTTCAAGGCACTGAAGAGCCGGCAGCGCGGTAGGGCTGAGCTCCTGCGCTCCATCTCGCCTGGGCTTCACGGAGTGATTGAAGACACACGTTCTCCGCTCGTCAGCAACCCGCCTCGTTAGGCCGTGCCAGGAAAGCCGAGCAGAGACGCGTTGTTGATCGTGTCGCAGAGCTGATGTTGTTCGGTTCTCCAGCTCAAAGGCTGTTAGAAGCAGCAGCCAGATGTTTATAATTCTGCCGACTGCGTTCTCTGGTACACGCTCTCTTCATCTGCTGCTGGGGACTTGCTTTTCCTTGCTGGGCGAACTGGGGAGCTGGCCTGTTCCACGTGCCTTCTCCAGCTGACGGCTTGTCGTGCCCTTTGCGCGGTCAAACATCGTAACTACGAGTAGGAAACGCAATCTTTTGGTCTGAAGCGTAGAAAATGGACGTGTGGGAGAGGGTGGTGTGAGGCACAAAGATAATTTTGAAACCATGAGTTAAGTTGTAGTTGTGCTTAACTGCAGAGGGAAGACGGGGTAGAGAGAGGCTCCAAGGGGGTTTGGGGCAGAGGCTGTGCTGTCAGCAGAGGACTGAAGAGCTTTTAGGATGACTGCATCCCTCATCCCGAAAGAGTTCTGTGTCTTCTCTTGGAAGAGAGCGACTCCCTTCCTCACCCCAACAGCCACCTGTAGGATGATGGGGTCAAGGCTGCCATCCTTGGGGAAAACCGGGGAGAAGGAGGACTAGAATGCCGGCAAGGATCACCGGCAGCGGGTTCCTAAAATGAACGATCGTCAAAGAATGGGAGGTGCGGGGGCGCGGGCCTGTGTGGCCGTCATCTGCTGCCTGTTGAGGTGTGACGGTGACCTGGCGCAATGAAGAGCGAAGCAATCTTTCCCGTAGGAATTAATGGAATGAGGGGGTGGAGGGGTCGTACGTGGGGACTTGAGCAATGCGCCTTACGTACAGCGGGACGGGGCGCGGGACGTGGAGGGGCAGAGCAGCAGCAGAATCACCAACCGGAGGAGATGCTGGCTTTTTGGAGGCTGGCTCTTCAGAGCAGGTCACCCTTCCAGAAGATCTCAGCCTCCCCATCCTGTAAATCTTCCAGCGTGGGTCTTCTCGCTGCCTCTTTCCGTGTATTTAATCTCGTCTGTAGTAGCAGCACATCCACGCGGGTGAGGAAGCGGACGGCACTCCTCTGGTCACGTTTCACCAGGCTGCAGGCAGACGCTGCTTCGTGCCAGCTGTCAGGATGTAAATGGAGGTGGAAAATAAGCGATACAGTTAGGCAAAATTAAAAGCACTTGATCTTGGAAGCCAAGCTGTCCCACGCCTGTCCGGATCTTCTGTCTGGGAAGCCAAAGAACCGCAGGCACGGGTGAAAATCGGGCTGCAGGAACCGAAAGGAGGGTTTGTGTCGGGGAGCCTCGGGCAGGGCGGGAAGGCAGGGTCCGGCTGCGCCCGGGGCTGGGCTGCGCTGGCGTCTCCGAGTTTGGGCCAGGAGACGCGCAGAAGGCAGCCGCGCTCCGCTCACGGGCAGCGCGCAGAGCACCTTACTCTGAAAGGCTTCCTCCGGGTCCTTTTTTGCTGCTGAGCTGCTAAACAGGGAGAGCGACGAGACAGAACGAGGGTTAGTTCAGCTGGTAACTAGAAATTTCTCAGTCAGGCTTGGAAAGAGTAAGGTTATGAATATCGGAAACGATGGGAGGCTTAGGGGAATTTCGCATTATTGCGACCAGCAGCTTTTCCCTCGGGTGAGGGTGAGCAGGCCTTTTGAACGCGGCAGGCAGACCTGACGTTAACGCGCACGTTAGCATTGCTGCGGGAAGGATCGCGCGTCCGACGGCTGGAGCCAGCCCCTGAGCCATCGGCTCTCCTCTTCCCTCTGCCTCCTCGCAGCTCCCAGGCGGGTTTTCCCATCTTTATTAAATGTGAGAAACCAGGCTGAATTCTTCATCGAGATCAAGGAAGGTGTTAACTCCTGAGACCATTCCCTTTGGAGCGTGTGGCAAACCAGCTCTTCCCTTCGAGCCCCTCATGCTGTTAGCCAGTACAGAAGATAACACCTCGTTAACGCGGGTAGCTTAATTTCCCTCAACCTCAGTTCTTCCGCGCCTTTGGAGGGAAAGCAAGAAGCCAAGCCGTAAAGAATTCCTGCCTCAATCCCCCTTGTGTTTATATTCAGTATTAATATTGATTCTCTGTGTTCCAGCTTTGTTTCTTAATAAGCCACCCACAGAAGTGCAGAGTTTCCTCGCCAGATAAATACGATGGAACAGTGGTCTCATCAGCCCTGGACGACTGTGACTCATGGAAACGCGGTGTGTACGTCGGGCGGCTGTGAGCAGGCTCATTGGTAACAGCAGGCAGCGACCCACATCTGCGTGTTCGTGGGATCTGGAGAGGACCAGGCGCTCTCCTGCTGCCGGAGGGATCCAGCCAGGCACGGTGGCAGGGCAGAAAGCTCCCTGTCAGCTCCTGCAGCTGCTTCTCCTCTCTCCAGGCAGATTTTTAGATTGCAGGAACAGTTAAGTCAAGCTCGATGGCCCCAAACGGTGATCTCTGTCTTTTGGTCAGGCAGCCGAGCATCACTCATCTTGTCGGCTCTGACTCATCCTGGTGCTGCCTCCTCCCGGGC